AGTCTGGTGTGATTCACTTACGATTGTGGTCTCAAGCTGATTCAATCACTTTAGAATTTCACTTTGAAAGAATAAACTTATTTTTTCTTATTTCCTTTTTCACTGTTAGTTTCACTAATATGTGTATATATATCAAATGTTAGGCCTATGTCAGTCGTTAGACCTATCACTTTTATGTCACTTCACTTCACACCAACTATATTCCCTTTGCTTTTATCTGTCTAATACTGTTTGTCTGCTGCTTCCCGCTCATCTCACACTATTTATATTTTTATTACATAGTCGTCTGGCCACTTTCTATATTTTGACACCAATTAGTTATTAACAAAACCTTCTACAATCATCTGCTTTTAACTCTTATAATAACACAACTTAAAAATAATAAAATATTCATTCACAAATACAAATTAATCTTTAATATTTAAACCAAACAGTCTTTTATATCATGACACAAACCTCTCTTCAAGATAAAATATTTATGATGTATATTTTTTTTTACTATATACAAAGACTTTTCTTAGTTCGAACACAAAGTCTGCTCATAGTCTGCTCCAACATTTGCAGTCTCTTTGATGGCCTCAATGCGAAACTTGTAGTTCTGAAGATACAATGCCCACCTCATGATTCTTGCACCTCTGAATGTATGCAAGTGGTTGATGGTCTGTCTGGATGATGAACTTCTTCCCATATAGATAGTTCTGGAATTTCTGAATGGCAAATATAATAGCCAGACACTCTTGTTCAATCACTGAGTAGTTCTTCTCACTATTCAACAGCTTTTTACTTATACATGTTATTGGAAACAGTCCATATTCATGTTCCTGTAAGAGTACTGCCCCAATTCCAATGTCTGAAGCATCAGCCTGAACAATAGATGGTTTGTTGAAGTCTGGCATTCTAAGAATTAGTGAGCTTCCCAACATGTTTTTTAATTTCTGGAATGCCACCTGGTGTGGTTGTTACATGTGTGACATAGCTAGAATCCCACATTGAATAAGTGGAGGGACCAGTGAAAGGGAGAAAGTAGAAGCATCCAAACGGCACCCTCATGAAGGAATCCTCTAATAAGAGAATGATATGTGTGATGTCGCACCACTTCTGTACCAGGTATACTCTTTGTTAAGATGTGCAAAAGGTGAGACAGATCCAGGTGGATAAATCTGAGGAGCAAATTCCAATGGGAGAGAGAATTGTTGAACACTGATCCTAACCACATTAATAACCACAATAATTTCAATCTACCCGATACACAAAATGTGGCTAAAAGAAGTGATGTGCCCCAAGGTGTAGAGTGGCTAAGGCATGATGAACCGTACATGGCAAGTCAAATGCATCCAAAATTCGACTGCCAGAAACCATGCATTAGTAGGATGAGGATCATACCTTCAGTAAGTCAACTATAATCCGCTTGAAGAATTTCTTCCAAAGGATGATGCAGATGAGATGCCAGGGACAAAGTAAGGAGCCTAATCTGATGGGAAGACACCCAGAATAATTGACAGGAAAAAGGAGACAAGGAAAAATAAGCCAATTGAATTAAAAGCACAATTGGTAAGGATGGAAGAAGAGAAATAATGAACACAGGATAGTTGCCAAGGGGTGAATAGACGGGAACAATTATGACAGAAAGAAGCTGTGTGGGTGATATAACAAAGAAGATCATGAACTGGACATAGAAGTCTCTCCGGATTAGAACTGGAAAAAAAGGTGGGAAATAGAAGGAAGGAGAATCGGCGAGAAGGAGGGATTATTCTCCCAAGCTGCAGTAGTCTTGGGAAGGAAAGATCGATCTGAGTATAGGAAAGATAAGAGGAATGTTACAGAGTATATGAAATGTCAATGGCAAACAAATTGGACTAATGACATTCACAGGCTAAAAGGAGGAGGAAATATGCCTTATGTAAATGAAATATGGAACAAGAAGTCAAAGGTTTAAATGGAGGTAAAGTAAGGCAGCAAAGCACCACATTGACATCCCAATCTGGAAGGGCTGCACTCTGTGAATGGCAACCAATCTGAAAGGAACATAGCAAGAGTGACAAGATATGGGAGGCAAAAACTTTATGGTACCATAAAAAACGAAAAGTGTGAGACAAGGCAATCAAATTACACAGGATTGTGGAGACTGAAGACACCTGATCAAATAACAAGTGAGGAAATCCGTAATAAGGGGACCAGTGGGACAGGCAGAGGAGAACCCATGACCCAAAGAAAATGTTCCACTTATGTTGATAAACATCCGTGGAAGGTCAAACCCAACATGCCAACAACAAAGCTAGCCACTATGATACACTGAATCTCCTCACTAAGGACTGGATAAAAACCAGTGAAGATGAAGGGTAGGAATAGCAAGATGAACTACCTGGGACTGAGGCTGCTGTAGAAGGGATAGAGTGCTGGGAAGAGGCAAAGATGGAGCAGATTGGATCTGGAGCAGCCACAGCAGCCACGGCAGGGCAGACCAGTAAGGGTCAGTCAGAAAGACTTGACATGAAGTGGATGATAGAAAATCACCCTGAGAAGAAGTGGGACATGACGATACACAAAGAAATTTGTCTATCCAACCTGACTGAACCCATCGACAGCCAGAGCAAATGGATGAGGCACCAGAGACCAAAACTGAGGTAAATTGGTATTGAGGATAATGGCAAATGCAACCAGGTGCAGAGTACCCACCCAAGTGCATAACCACTGGAAAACCTAGGGATCTAGAGACCACTCCATCAGATAAATTTTGTTAAGGTAGGATAGATGATCTGTAACAAGGTTGAAAGCACCCAGAATATGACACACAAGCAGATGAAAACTGTGTGTGTGTGTGGGCTCCAAAAAGATCTAACATTCAACAAAAAAGGGAACGAGAATGAGTGCCTTCCTTGTGATTGATATATGCTACCACTGTAGAATTGTCTGTATGGATCATAATCAGATGATTGCTAGCAAGAGGAAGAAAATGATCCAAAGCCTGATGGATGGCAAGAAGCTCCAGGATATTGATATGGTAAGATCGTTCAGTCACGGACCATTGACCCTGAAGCGACTTCATGCTCGACCAATATCCGAGACAATAAAGGAGGGAAGAGGAAATGGATGACAAGTCCTTTGGATAAAACCTGAAGGACCCATAGATCCCTGGCAAAATCTTGCCATAGATGAACAAACTGTGTTAAACGAGCCCCCACCAGACCAGAGCCCACAGGGTAGTCACCAATAGTTTTGGAGGTGATGAGAAGTAGATCCCCTACTAGAAGGAATATGTAAGGGTTAGGACAAGGAACAGAAATAGGGGATGGTTGAGGCTTTGTATGAAACAAACAATCAACCAATAAGGAAAGAGTCAATTACTGTGTCACAGATGGCACTCTGGATTCCAAAGTTGCTGGAAAATCTCCAAACACTGACTGATGGAAAGAAGGGACCAGACATAGGTCCCTAAGATAAGGAGATGGCAAACAAATATGGGTCAAAACCATGTCTCTCCCCAAAAGATCCCAACAACAGAGGAACTACGTGTGTAAAGAACGAGCAAAAGTTGACAAATGTGTCATTAGGGCAAATATATCCCCTGAAAAACCCTCAGGATCTCAGTGGATCATCTCAGAGAGGTGTATGGTGGACATGTACCATAAGATAGACATGAGGACAAGATAAGGGAGAGAAATTGGGCATGGGACAAAAGAACAGGACAATCATAACTGAGATACAAAATGCTCAGCATAAACCCCAATATTGGGAGATAGTGGAAACACAAAATACTGAGAGGAAGGAGTATCATGTAACAAGGAAGGTAGAGGATTATAGGAAATCGGAGAACAGGATAAAACAGAACACATCTGGGAAATCATGTATGAAAAAGCCGTATTAGGCCTAACAGAACCCACAGTAGGAACTTGGGAAGACCTGGCAAATTCAGGCAAAGGAAAAAGGCTGTCAAATGCTTCATTGTCCCAAACAGCTTTGGCTTATTCAGTAGGAAATTGGGTAAGATCAGGAGAAGAAGGCTGGCTTAAATAATGATCAATCTCTCGACAAATAATTGCTGATAATTCCAAGGTTGAGTCCCCCCCCCCCCCAAAGCCCAAGTAAGTGTGCTTGTAGAAAGTACAACCTCCGATGTGGTAACATGCACTTCAGAATTCATAATACAAATGAAAGCCAAACAAAAATGTGTTGGTAAAGAAAAAAAAGAACAGAAAAATGTTTAAGTTCTGTAACTGGGTAGAAAAATTGGAAAATAATATGAAAATTCAAAATTCGAGGAGAGCACTAAATGAATGTCCAAACACATGCACTGCCAAACAAGAAGTGATAGTTAGGTAGAATAGCATAGAGGGAGTCACATGTATGTGGGGTGCATCTATTGGAGGAGGAGGTTTGTCACATGACAATTTGCATGTGTGAATCAGTTAAACCAGGTGAACTAAAGAGTACATGGGACTGAAAGGCTTGTGGCACGCAACAACTTTTGCAAATAGAGGGCAGCACTGAACAAGAATAGATATGTATGTGAGCAGAAGTCAGGTACCTTGTCAGAAAGACTATTTTTACTGTTAACTTTCTTCTTTATCCTAAAATAGACTACTAATTAAAATAACACAACAACATGCAAGTGAACTTACCATTACAGACTGTAAACCCTGCTGGGAATTCTGTGGAGGAAGTGTAATGGTCACTTTCTGAGGCATTGTAAGGGTAACTGTCTCCAACTGCTGGAAAAACATGAACTTAATTTTTAAATGTTACCCTTTTATTTCAACTGGTTAAAGCAAAACAACTTTTAAACTTTTCTATGTGGCATAACTTGCATATCTACCAAATTGTTAGACTGTTAAAGTAGATGTGAAGCTCAAGAAGCCCTCAGTATAGAGGCTATACTAAACATTGTGAAGCTCTAAAAACAGGCAGGAGTAGTCTATTGAAGGCAAAACACTAATAACACATGCTTTACAGTTGTGCAACAACTGTTTTCATGAAAATGTCCAATATTCTGATTCCATAATAAAGATGAAGACAGTTGACAAAATATAAAACATTATATTTACAAGGTTTTAATCTTTCGGAATACACTTATTCCATCTTCAGCAAAATCTGTTACAAAAACATTTACTAACTAATGTTATAGTATCATTAATAACTAGTTTACTTATCCTACATTTTCTCAAGACCCTTGAAAATCAAAATATTATCTCTGAAACAACTTTTCACCAAATTGCCCCATGTGGCACTATACCCATTATTCTTTATGGCATACCAAAAGTACACAAAACTGGATACCCTCTCTGTCCTATTCTCTCTGCTGTAGGCTTCTGTAATTACAACCTCATCAAACTAATCATTCTTATTCTTAAACCCCTCACTTTGAATGAGTTTACCATCACTGATTCCTTTACCTTTGCTTCTGAAACATCTAAATCTAAAATTCCCTCTGCTGATCAGTATGTTATGGCCAGCTTTGATATTGAATCTCTATACTAATATGCCCCTTGATGAAATTTTAAATGTAATCGTGGACTTTCGCTTTCCTTCTGACACTGAGCAGTATCTTGGTTTCACCCGTAAAAATTCTTAGAGCTTCTTGCCCTTTCCATAAAATTAAACCATTTCATCTTTAACTCTCTTGCCATGACATTGGTCAAATTGACTGACCTCATAACAACTTTGTACTTGTTATAGTTTCCATACTAAAACTTTTAATACAGTATGTGTATCTTCACAAAATTTGGCAGACTTTTAGTAAATATTACAATTCTTTTGTACACAAAAAATCTGATTTTTTAATAAAGTATTCTTACTAAAAAACTGTCAATGAATATACAATAGTTTATTTTTAATATTCCAAGTGCAAAGTGATTTTCACATTAAGATTAAAATTACTTTTCTTCATCTCAAAAATCTCAAATTTCATTTGCATAATCTCTGAATCCTCCTAAATAAATTTCAAACATTTTTCTTAAGTAAAATTTTATATTTTATCTGTTATTTTCTCTATCTTAACTTTATACAAGGTTGGTAAATTTGACTGACCTTATAACCACCAAAAAAGAAATCAACATAAATCTAAATTACCTTTTTCTCTTTCTAGAATAACTTCAAATCTTAATATGAGACTACATTTGTTTATCCTAAATAGCTTTAAACTCATAACAGTATACATCTATTCATACTTAAATTATTGTTTTATTGCTCTTTGAACTGTGTTTAACTACTATTTGTGTCATAAGTTGTAAATCACTTGGCGAACATACAGCTCATGTTAACTATCAAATAACATTATGCACAAGCTACTTCAGAGCTGCTCGCAAGTGTACCTTGTAAAAAAATCATTAAGTTATTAATATCTATTTATGTATTTACTCAATCTAACATTTAATAACCTAAAAAACATGTTTCCCCTTTTTTTTACATTTGTGTTACTTTTATAATAAATAAAGAATATACACAAAAAAACAAGAAATAAAGTACTTACCTGGGCTGCCTTTTTTTTTTTTGTTGTTGAGTATCAATGACAGTTAACCCTACTTTTTTTTTTTAATACTATTGGTAGTATTTCAGTAAATAATTTAGTATTTAATTAAATAATGCATCAAAGAACACAGAACAATAACATGCAAAAAGCAGACAAATGTTCCATAACTATCACAATTTTTTTGGATTTCTAACTATTTGACAAGAGTTGTTACAAATTCATCTAAGCTAGTCAATGTGGTTCCTGTGGGAATAAAGCTTGTATTAAAAGTGAAATTGACAATTCTGTACATAAAACACCATAATATAATGTAATTTAATAGATGAAAACCTTGCTTTCTATTCGTTATGAATAATATAGTATTGAAGGTCAGAGAGAACTACTGTCATTGTCTGAAAGACAGGATGTGGCAAGAGGGGTCTGATTTTCTATTTGATGGCTCTGTAACCAAATAAGATTGAAGGTTATGAAAGTTATGTTTTGCCTGATAAATGATGATATTATAATAGGTAATTTACATTATATTTCATAATTCTTGGAGGGGTGGTAAATAAATTAGAGAAGAGTGGGCACCTAGAGAGAAAATGTTATAATTCTCACACTAGGGGAAATTCAGGATTTTTTTTTAAATACTGCCTTATAAAACTAAGAACGACTTGTATACTATTAAAATATGGATTATTAGCTATGTTTTTATGCTATTCTTATTGGTATACCATGAAAATAAAGTAGTTGAATTAAATTTTGAATATAATTCTCTAAAAACCTTATGACAAGGGTAGAAAAAGATGACCATGGTGAGAGGGTTAATAACTTCATTTATGACCAGATAGATGGAATCATCATGGGATCCCCACTGGGTCCAACAACAGCCAGTAGTTTTCTATGCTATCAGGAATGCAAGTAGCTAGAAAACTGCCCTTGTGAATTCAATCCTGTCCTTTACAAATACTATACTAATGACACTTTCTAGCTGTTTCGGCAATTGAGTCACATTTCTTTCTTACCTTATTTACCAACAACTCAATATCAAGTTCACATCTGAACTTGAAGAAATGAATCTTTACCCTTCCTAGACGTTAGTATTACAGAAGAAGTAAAGACTTTTCTACCTCCATTTATCATAAAAGTAGATTTACAGGCCTTTATACTGATTTTAATATTTTTGCCCCCAACTTCTTCAAATGTAATCTAGTCATGTCACTATTAAATAGAATTTTTAACCTTTGCTTGAATTACTCTCTTTTACATGAAGAAATAACACTTCTGCACAAACACCTGTTATATAATGGCTATCCGAATGATTTTATAACAAATATCACACACAATTTTATAAACAACAAATTCCAGCCACTTGCTACTGTGCACACCATCCTTAAATTTCACCTCATAATCTGCCCTCTTTTTACGGGCTCACAATTCTTTAAAATTAAAAAACAACTCTTCTCTTTAATAAAAAACTTCTACCCACAATTTCAGCTCAGACTAACATACAGACCTAGCCTCCACATTAAACACTTATTTAGATCAAACACCATATTTTTCAGTGTATGAGACACACTTTTTTACCCCAAAATTCGATGTCCAAATCTCCTTGCGTCCTATACACCGAAGGTATGAATAATATATATATGTATATATACGATATACACAAGCCATATGTAAATATATTTAAATAGGCATGTACAGTTTAGTTCAATTAAATGTGTTATTTATAACAATAGTAGTTTTTTTCTTTTAAAAATATAACTATTTATAATGCTTCCCAAAATATAAAAAATAATTACAGTGAAA